GTTCATATGAGCTAGTGGGCTAATCCCAGCTTTTATATATATATATATATATATGTCCTATATGATATAAGTGACTACATTGACGACAATTATCAAAAGATATCATTGCCACAGCCAATATTGAATCAGCTACAGCAGCATCCGTTATGGTAAAAAGAAATGTTCAAAGTTTTTATCTAAAATGATACTCTGTCATGGTCCAATATTCGAGTCCTCCATATCATCAACACAGGCTTTCCACTTAATATTGAAGAATTTATCTATAGTTGATGATAGTTTTTTGCAAGAAGCGCAGGAAATTGTTATATAGTAGGACATCAGGCTATAGCATCGGACCTCATCAGCATTAGTATGGACGTGATCACTGTCCCTCCCGAAATTCACGTTCAATTGCAATCCGAACTCTATTCCTTATAGACATCTATTTGTCCACTTCCACTTTGAATTTGTATAGAGTGGGGCATCATTAGGATTATTGGTTTTAGGGTTGTAGAAGCAGTGATAGCAAGAGGAATAGAAATCTTACTTTTAAGAATTTTGTTAGTTAAGGATATATGTTTTCTGTTTAGTTGGGATAGGGATGAATACATTGAGTGATATGTGTGATAATTGTACATACATATTTTAGTGTTCTTGTTTAAAGAATCAATCACATAATTTCAAAGGAAACGAAGAAGATTCAGGATTTGGACGTTCAGACCTTGTATTTCCTAGCTATCTTGGGTCTTGGCTCTTGTTACCCCATTATTGAGGTTTCTTTTTCTTCTATAATATGCTTTGTGCATCACACTTCCACTGCCAGAAGCATTAGCAAGGAATTTTTGGTAACAAGGTTCTTCACACCTGTACGAGAACAGGAGGATGGCAGTCAAGGGGTTTGGCAGGACATCCATGAGCAGAGATGGAAGATGGCTGCAAGCAGGAGCATAGTGGATAGTTAAGATTGCTTTAAGAGTCAGTGAGCAGAGTATTGTACAAGGTGCTGCATTCGAATTATAATGGAGTACATATCGAGAAAAGATTGGTACCAGAAGTTGCTATCCTCTTAATTGAGAATAAAGCAACTGGAACGATGTGGTGGTTGCAGGAGAGAGGTCAGAACCAGCCTGTATTGAGCGTCTTTATCCAAGTGTCCCAGAGAGAGTTAAGGTTAGCAAGAGAGCCCGTGTCAAAATGAGAGAATTGTCTTCACAGCTAAGAGCTTGATATGCCTATACTTATTATTAATTACCATTTTACTAATAAAACAAAAAAATTACTATTAAATAAATATGAATAATTACTATTCCAATAATATAATAAAATCTATAATAATAGATAGAACAATAGGATAGTAAATAATTAGGAATACGAAGCAGTTCTCGAACAGATTGAACCCATAATCCAAGGAAAATGTGGTGCACAAGCAGCGTTCGCAAGCTCGAACTGGAACGGTTACCAGACATGGGCCCAGAAGCAGTTCAACCGGCCTAACCAGTAAACCAGCCCATTCAACCATTCTAATAGGGCAAGTCTCAGGCGGTCAAAAAAATGTTGAAAAAAATAAAAACGATACAAAAAAAAAACTACTAAAATATGAAAAACATATAAAGAATGATTAAAACAAAACACATTCATATGAAGTTGAAAAATAATGAAAAAAATGGATTTTAACGAATCGATTTGTGCCTAGGGAAATTTTTAAAATTTTCCAAAAAAGATAAGAAAATATAAAAGTGAGTAGTAATGACCAAAACAATTTTTAATCTTTACCATAATGTAAGGAATATTTAAGAAAATGCATTACAAATCAAATTCCTTATTTTTGAGAATTTATATACATTTTTTTTAATTTTTTTTAAATATCGATCGATCACCAAAACCGCCCAAAACCAAAACCGGCCATTGGCTGGTTCCAATCTAACCAGGTGGTTAGCGGTTAGATCGCCCGGTTTTTCCAACAATGTACACAAGACACATATTCTTATTATTTAATTTTATTTTTATTTCTATTTCATTTGAACCATTTATAAATGTTGTAACAGAGACATGAACAATGTACAAATATCCATATTTATTTACATGGATTTATTACTTTCCATGGAACATGCATATACTAGAGTGATGATGACATGGATTATTAGTAATACTAGTTGCAAATTCAAAGAAGAAAAAAAAAGAGAACGTTTTTTTATAAAATAAGTCATGAATCCTGATTATTAAAAATATCAGAAGATGCGGAACGAATAGAGTCGAAAAATTGCAAATTCAAAGAAAAAAAAAAGCGAACATTTTTTATTCCTGTCATAAAATAAGTCATGAATCTTGATTATTAAAAACATCAGAAGATGCAGAACGAATAGAGTCAAAAAAGATTAGTTCTTTCTTCCTCCAGCTTATGCGTTTTTTGAGAAGGGATTGGTTATATCATCTTATAGGATTGGTAATTCTTGGGCCTAACATAAGACCTTTTCTTATAAACACAAGCAAAATTTGTCACTACAAAAAGGATGATGATAATCCCATCGTTAACTACTTAATTGGTTAGCCCTTCAACAATTAGCAACGCTACTTTGCATGCTTAATTCCTACCAAAAGGTAGGGGCCCTCTCCCCTGACCTGACCCACCCAAAAAACTACTTAATATAATAGAAATACATGTCCTACCAAGAAGGAATTTGTAACTTGACGTACTCTTGACTAGCAGGTAAAGATTTAGCTCCTAGGTCTGTGGAAAGAGTGATTCTTTCGAATCCACATGAGAGCCCAACTATACCGCATTCCCAAAGTCCATGGTATATATTTGAATTAGTTTGACCTCCTAGTTCTCTCATGGTATAATTCTTCAAATGTAATTTCCATTCCTTTACATTTACATTATATGTATATGTATTTCTTAATATTGAATTGATTAATTTCAAATCTCATTTACACCTTCGTGTTAATACTATACTCTATAATCATAATTAGAATTATTACTTTCTAATAATTTATTCTATTGATAACTTTAAATTTTATTTTATAATAATTTAAAAGAATCAAAAACTTCTATTTTTATAATATTTTAGTTTTGATATGAATATAATAAAATATAAAGTCTATAAGTTGAAAAATAAATGATTTAATTTATACATACATTTTTATTTATGAATCATTAATTATAGAATTTGTCTTCTAGTAATAATATGTTTTCTCTTATGGTCCCGACCTATCTTGACCAGTATAGCGAACATACTATGTATGTCTCAACTAGGATGCATGACTTATTCTAAGTGTAAACAATTGATAGAGAAAGAAAGAATCATAATTGACCGATATGTTTCTCTATAGAAAAAAAGATCTTCTGATCTCTATGCACTTCATCACTCCACCAGAAATTCCTTATTCCCCTACCGCACTCCTGCTTGGTAGTTTTCACCACCTGCCTAGGGTTGAGCCCTAGGATTTGACAGTGGAATTGAAAAGCCACCTAGAAACCCCTTTATGCCCAATCATGTCGGATAATGCTTGCATCCTCAACTTGATGTAGCTGATGACACAAAGTCGATGCCTATTCCTAGGATACTTTCATCGCTTCTTCTCTGAAGAAAAGATGTCCATGGCCCATGCGCCTTCTACTTCCAGGAGGTATTGCTTCGTCAAGCTTTCGCCCATTCCAAATACCGGAGTTTGGGCCGTATCTCAAGATTCATTTCTTTAAAAAAGATACGAAGTAGAACCAATAAAGATTTGTTTTTCGAGTCATCCCCAGAGTTGAATACCACATTCAAGATTTTTTTTTTTTTTGGATCCAGTTTGTAGGAATCAATAGAAAAGACAATTCCCTTATGATAAATCAGATCAAGTGCAGTTATTGATAGAGTGAATAGATCTGCCTTTTCTTGATATCTCTCTTTTGATTCAAAATCATGCATAACTAGAGAAAAACAATTTAAAAGGAAGCAAAATTTCTAGATGCCTAGCTTCACTATAAGCAATAAGTTGCACATAAATGAAGATTTCAGTTCAGATAAATGGGAGAGTCCCAACTTGCTCTGGGTTGGTGGAACAAGAGAACCAACGGAGAAAACAATGATCCTAATAGACTAGATTTTCTATTTGAGGAAGCTGACCAATGGCAAGCTACCTCCAGAGCAATAGTTGCAATGTGCAGGATGGCCATTGAAGTTGAAGCAGCATTAATAAAGGGTTACTTGGTCTGTCACATAGTTTTCATCAAAATTAAGGAGTACCAGGTCTTAACCAGGTGGTGGTGGATGGATGTTGGATTTTTCTATAAATGATGAGTTGGGAGCAGTATGGACCTAGATGCCTAGACTTGAGGGGAAGCCCGTAGCCAAATGGATGGGAGACCAGGCAAGAGATGGGACTGGATGATGTGGAGACCAGTTATGCTAAAGTGTAGCAAGAATAGCTCTTTGGCCTAACCATTGCTTATTGCCAAATACATCCCAAAGACTTCTGTATGATAATGGGGTTGTGCATTATAATATTTACAGAGAACAGGGAGAAAAGAAGTTATAAAAAACCAAAAGAGATTAAGAAATTAAGCTTCATACTGGTCCATAGGATAGATGATGGTCTATAATGTCCCACTTGCCGGCAGATTTGGAATTGGGGGAAGAAGGCATCTTCTGCATATTGGAAATACTGTTCCCTTCTTGTTCTGCAGTCGAAGAAGAAGATGATGCTGAGGCCCCCTTCAAACTTTCTTGAAACGCGGATACTTGGTAGACATGGGGTAACATCTGCAACACATGACCAATTATAAATTCCGTGAATTTAGAACAGCTCAACATCCACCAAGAACTTGTTTTATACTCTACATCACCCTAAAGCTAAAATATTGTGCTGGAAATAGAGTAGGATTCTCTCAACATATATCCTTAGCAATAAAATAAGACACATAAAGAAATGGTGCCATTTATCGCTCGTGTCGCTAGACACTAACATAAGTGTCCCTCATGAAATGTTCCTAAATATGATCACTCACATATAGAATATCCAAACAAATAAGAAAGACATCCAGAATAATTCCTATGGAGATTTACGTGAATGCATGCAAATTGTTTGTTTATTGTGTGCATGTGCTTGTGTCAGTGTTCTTGTTGGCTGAGTTGGTAGTGAGCAGATGTAATGCTTGTCAATATAGAATGACAGAAGTTAAGATATACCTCATCAACTTCTTGGTTGATTTGATCCACACATTGCACAAGAAGCGACTGAAGCCTGTCCTTTTGAAAGCTTGAAAGCCCAGCCCCAATTCCATCACTAAACAAGGGAAGGGAACCATCACATAAGCTATCACCTACATTCCTAAATGCATTACCAAGATCCTCAGTTCTGGTCTTCATACTTGGAATATTTGCAAATGAATTCGAATCCTGATTTCGCGAATGTGCAAATGGATCCTCATTCCCAGAGAGGAGCTCTGAAATTTTGTGCTTGTAGTAGCCAGCATAATTTGGCCCCAATTCATTCATCTTCACTGGAGGCATCAAATTTCTTGAAAATTTGGACAGTATAAGAGCAGAGAGTTACAACTGGCCAAAAGAGATCAATAAAGGGCAATTAAGATAAACCATGAATCAAACAGCGTGCCTCTTAAACTACCAAACTAGAAATTTCTACAAAGTTAAAGAAACCATCAAGACAAGAAAATTCTACAGATTAATTGAAGTTGGAATAAAACGTCCTAGTAGTAGCCGGTATTTCATAGGCTGATTCACTATTAAGAAGCATGTATAGGAGCATTCAGATAACATGCACGCATGCATGTGCAGGTATTAGTAGCACCATAAGAGAATGATTATGCCAACCACCATCATAACTCTCAGAAATCAACTCAACGAGAAAAGTTACAATAAAAAGGTATCAAACTCAAGCATAGATAATATGCCACTCCAAAGTAAGATGATTGAGCAAACATGATGCCAAGCAAGAGCCGCAACATTAATGCAAATAATGAAGCTACAATTCAGAGAAAGTAAAAGATGAGTGGTCACCAGCAAGTTATATATGGTTGCCAATGAAGAAACCAACTCCCACTTGCACACTATGAAGTATAATAGAAACCCTTGCACCTATATGTAACAGTAATTCAAAAAAGTGTGATTGTGAAAGTGGATAGCCCTAGCTGACCATACACACTGGCCATAGACTAAAGCTCCTTCAACTAAATATGTAGTTATATTGCCAATATTTTTATCCAAATGATTGGATATGTGCATACCATAATCTCAAGCAGTATCTTACCAATTTACTAGCAATTCACAGCTATGTTTGTGGCAAGTCACTCGAATATTTACACAACAATTTGGAACTCCTATTTAACCTCATTGTCATCAATCAAGTATAACAACTGACACCAGCTTCATTCTTTAGGAATAAGGCATTTTAATAAATATTATTGCAGCACTGTAACTAAAAGAAAAAAAAAATGGTAAAATGATCTAGGACTCTCTGTTAGCTACCAACCACTCTCAAATATTATGCCATTTCAAGTGTAATTGAAAGTCATAAATTAGGTTCTACAATTGATCTCAATATTACAATTGAACACTGGGTAAAATGATTCGGGGCTCTTTATTAGCTACCCATAACCCCTCTCAAATATATGCCATTTCTAGCATAATTGAAAGATGGTTCTGTAAGTGATCTCAATACTACAGTTGAACACTAGGGTTATCATAAGTTGACACTCCTTTGGTTTAAGAATACTAAAAAGTAATTTCACAATGAATAAAATATCACTGAATACCGACCGCCCATATCCCATGCAGAGTAATCAATGTTCAAGAAAGCGGATGCTGAAGCCTAGGCAACCAGGGGTCTGGGCCCCCTAGGTAGGGGTGGCAATGGACCCGGGCCCGACCCGAGACCCGCCGGGTATACCCGACACGGGTCAGGTATGGGTCTAGCATTTGGACCCAGCGGGTTGGGCCTGGGTCCAAAACTTGGACCTAAACACCACACGGGTTTGGGTCTGGGTCCAGCTAGACCCGACCCATACCCAACCAGTACTCGTAAACTGTTAGAGATAAAATACTTTAAGCCCTATTCATTTGGGTGTATCAAAGATCTTATATAATTAGAATTAGTAGTCATCTTTAGCTATTAAACGACATATTACACGGCTGGAAATCTAATAGCGGGTGATTGTGACCTCGTTGTCAATAATATGGGTATATGATGGTAAAAAAAGGGACAAAAAAACGAAAAAAAAAAAGCTCATAGTGAGGGTGACAATGGACCTGAGACCCGATGGGATAGACCCGATACCCGATGGGTAAGGGTATGGGTCCAATTTTTGAACCCGATGGGTCAGGGTCGGGGTCGGGGTCGGGGTCGGGGTCGGGTCCAGGTCCAAAACCTAGACCCGAATTTATTCAAGTCTGGGTCCAGTTCCAGATGGACCCAAGTCCATGTCCATAGGTCCAGCTGGACCCAGGTCCAGCTGGACCCAACCCATACCCAACCCGTTGCCACCCCTACTCCAAGGCAGGCACTTTCGGCTGTTGAGCCAGGAAGGATGTCAATGGCATGCTCCTCACCGCCACGAATGGCGGCAGTGAGCTTGGGATTGAGAGAGATAGAGAGACGACGAGGGAGAACTGGAGAAGACATGGTTGAGAAATGAAAGGTTGGGCCTTGGAGAGACTTCAACTCACACAGGTTCTTTGGCACGGCCATCTCTTGTATGGCACATATCTTTGTAGGGTCTATCTCAATTCCTCGATGTCCCACAATGAAACCTAGAAATTTCCCAGATTTTACCTTGAACACACCTTTCAAAGGATTCATCGTTAGCTGATGTTTCGTTAATCTCTCAAATACGACTTCCAAATTAGCAAGGTAAGTAGATCAATCCCTTGATTTGACAACCAGGTCATCGACATAACATTCCACGACATCATGGAGGCGTCAAGATACCTGGACGGCTCAAAGGGAAGGGGGTTGAGGTGGGAGCCATATGTTGTTTTGTGAGTGTGTGTGTTTTGTGTGTGTGTCAGCTTTGTGAATGTGTGTATATGTGCATGGGCATGTATGTGTGTGCATGAGGTCTCGCATGAAATTCTTAAAAATCATCCTTTTATTTTCTTTTGGATCTGTATTTGTGAGACAGAGGTCTCGAACACTTGGAGGATATGTCGAGCGAGAGAGAGACCTCACATCGAACACTTGGAGGTCATCTTTTTTTTCTTTTTCTTACATATAAAGAGTGAGCACATGGGTCCATGCGTATCTTTGTGTATGCATGCGTGCGGGTGTCAAAGAGAAATATTGTGCATCAAACACTTGGAGTCCATCTTCTTCTTCTTCTTCTCATATGTAGAGAGAGCATATGGACCCGAGATAGATAAAGATATATAGAGAGAGAAGGGCTATACCAAGACTTATTTTTGTTTGGATGGATTTGAATTTTTTTCTTTTTTTTTTGTTTTCTTTTTTCTCTTTTTTTAAGGGATGGCACTAGGTGGCCGCCTAGGCACCTGCCTTGTGCGAGCCTAAGCGTCCGCCTTAGGCATGCCCGCCCAGATCCCACCACCTAGCCTAGGCCTAGGTAGTTCGTGGGCCAAGCCGCCGAGGTAGCAATTCGGCCAAATTTTCATTCATAGAAAGATAAAATAAACAGGCAAAGAGACCCAATAGTTTCAAAAAAAACACAATAACAACATAAATCCATAAAGAATATGAATAATCTTCCACTTTCTAATGGTAGGTTTCTCAAGATGAAGAGTGAGATTACAAGAAAATTGAAATTCAAGACTACAGAGGAGATGCAAAACCGTAATTAGGGGAAATATTCAACGAAGCGACGACAAATCAGAAGAGAAAGAGATAACATGGAATAAATAAATGAGGAACACCTAAGCAACAGAACAAAAACATAATCTCAAATGTAATTACTAACGCTGTGAAGGGGGCTAAAATGAGATAAGAGAATAACAAAAATACCTAATCACAGAACTGAGTTCAGAGACAACCAACAAACATAAGAGGAAACAGAAAACCAAACATAGTAAGAGAAAATTTTAGGGTTCTTCATTAACAAACAAACATTATTGTCCGTCATACATCATAGTGAAGAACAGTCCAGCCTCTTCAAGAACCATAAATTTGCCATTTAGATTTGTAATTATAAAAAAAAAAAGATGGCTACATGCTGCAAGATCGACAAGAATACAAAAAAAACGAACCTCAATTTTAATCATGACGGTGGAGGAGGTAAATGGGTAAGTAGCCAAAAAGAAGTACGGAAGGCCAAGGATGATGGGTGTAAGATTAAATAATTCGTGGAGAAAGAGAGACATGTGGACGTTTGTCTCGTGCTTCTATAATGTTGGCAAACGCCAATTCCCGCCTCCAACGTTTTTAGGACACATTTGGTTGATACGTAAATGTCTCCTAGTAAAAAAAATTTGTACATATTATAGTAAAATTTTGGCATACTATTTTACCATGAAATTGTTTAATTCATGGTAAAACAAAACATCGCTTCTTAAGTAACGAAACATTTCCTATCCTCAAATTTTCACATTAAAGCTGCCCAAGTTATTCAATTTAGTTAGGCCTATAGCCCCAACAACCACCCGTGACCCTCTTCTCTATATCTTTAACCCTAACAAAGGTATAGCCATTCCCATCCCTCATTATGCCTGGAAGCACCAACGGCCCTCCTTTCTCTATCTACGTGTCGCTTTGAAAATTTATCTTCTTATTTTCTCTATTATCCAAAATTTTCAAAAAAATAGAGTCACTTCTGTGTTTCTAGTTCTGTGTTTCTAATTATTGAGTTTCTCTGTGTTTCTCACTTCTTTCCTTACTTTTCTTATTATTGTTTACCTCTCTCCCTCTCTCGTAAAAGATTTTCATCAATTATTGAGTCTTATTATAATTGTCTTTATACTTCCCTTTTAATTCTTTATACTTCCTTCTTTTTTTCTCATTAAAGTTTGTAGTCCCTTTTTCACTTCATTAAAAGCTCAATTTCTCTCTTTTCTTTATTTACGTATTTATCCTTTGTAGTCCCTTTTAGAACCCTCTTTAGACCCCCTTTCTCTCACTAGGATTTCTCTCTTCACCTCTAAAACCCATCTCTCTACTCTCTTCACCTCTCTCTCTCTTTCTGGTATCAAAACCCATAGGTTCGTCCATGTGTGCTCCCTTTCTGCCGCAGTAAAATGAGGTGAAAAATAAAGTTTTGCAAAAAAAATGACAGTTTACATGTTTAGCAATGAGGTAATCACTCAAATTGAACCAAACAAGTTCACTATTTCCATAGTAGTGTATAAGGGAAGAAATCATTATTCCTTCAAAGACCTACAACTAGGTAGCTTTCTTAAGGAATAAGATTTTGATAATACTACTTTGAAAAATCTCAAACGGGAAGGTGCTACCTTTCCCATAGGTGAAATTGTTCAATGGGGAAGAATATTTCCAGACTTCAAAAAGAAAAGATGTATATTGTAAATTAGTATATACCATAAGGACTCTTTGCAAATTGGTACTGTCCAATTTTTAAAACCATTTACAAAAAATTACCCCCTAAAGTTATAAAGAGTGTTGAAAGTCATGTTGAAAGTTTATCTTCAGTAAATTCATGATCGGTAAAAAGAAAGTTCGATGAAAAAGCGTATTCTTCCCCTTCTTCTAAGAAGACCTCATGCTCAAAGTCATAACCCGTATACCCTCTAGGATTTAAAGAATATGCACAAACGGCGAAAGGAAATTTTGAGTTGCTTGAAAAAGAATTTGATCCTCATATGCTTTTATCTCAAACTAGTGAGGAAACTCAAATCCTCAATGGCTAAATTCCTTTTTAGAAGAAGATCCTGAGCAAAATGAGCTTTCTAAATACTCAAATCATCCAGTTTCACAAATTAAATTTAGATAAAAAAAGTGTTTTAGACAGAGGTCAGCAAGCAAGAGTTGTATAATCTTTCTCTGTTTGAGTCCAGATTGTCCATGTCAGTTCAACAAACATAGGTAAATCTTCATGTTAAAGGCAAGAGAATTTATTCTATATTTTTATCTTTCTTTGAAAAAAATATATTGAAATGTGGAAAAATAAGAAATATCAATATATTCATATCGGGCAAATAAATAATCTTATCCACATGCACTTTAATTATGATTTAGGATCAGAATATTTAGTTTCTCTTTTAGATAGTAAACATTTAGAATGGGCAAAAGCATTGATTGGTCAATTTAAGAGATGTTTGGATAAAGAGAATATTTGCATAGTTTTTCAAAACTTTTTTTTAAGCCTTAATGACGAGTTTATTATCAAAGCGTTCATGGTCCATATAGAAATAAAGGGAGTAAATCTTTTACCAAGGTCTGTGTATGCTACTATAGCATCTAAGTATATTTTTAATTTAATAGGTTCAATAGTCACCTGTTCAAAATTAGATTATGATGTCAAATTCCCTCAAATTTCAAATTTTGTATTTGAAGTTGGTCCCTCTGTATATTTTGAAAGCTTCATAACTGGTTTTCCTACTATTTCTGAATATGGAGTCTCGTCAATTTCAAAAGAAAAAACTAGACTTCAAAATGTTGTTCAAAACCCCATACAAAACACCAGTTACCACCATCACCTTAAAACCTATAAACAAATCCATTCATAGTAGCTAAAGAAATATTTTACGCCCATTCTCCTAGTTATCAATATTGATCCTGTTGTGAGAGAAATTACAGATTCACCAAACAAGAAAGCCGCTCAAATTGCTCAAAGTTGCATGGTAACCGCAGTGAAAAAAGATGTCAGTCATAAGTCATTAGATGAGATTGACCTCCCAAAATGGCTTATTCTATTGCTATTTCAAAACAACTAGAAAATCCGGAAGGCCCTAAATCAAGGGCAAATGCGAGCCCTCCTGGTTCATAATATTGATTATAACAAAGTTCAAAAGGATGAGGTACGCCAGTTAAATTACTTAATTCATTGGACATCATATGCTGAAAAACATGTATCAGACATAGAATCTCATATTCAAGAAATAATGAAAAATTTAGAAATATTGGCTGACAAGAAAGCAAAAAAAGAGAAAGAAAATAAAATGGAAGAAGAAATTTTTTTGCAAATACATGAGAATCATTAACAAATATTTGAAAACAAAGAAAGCTACAAGAAAAAAAAGATGAAGCTGCAAAAGCTTTTAAATTCAAGCTTCCTAGTTTTCCTAGCTTTCATTCTTTTCTTCTTTAAAATTATGAATATATAGAAGAATTATCTTCAGTTTCCCAAGTGAAAATGATGAGAATTGCTATTGTTGAGCAATATGGTATTAGAAAAATATAGGAGAAGACATTCAAATTTTAAATATTGATAAATTAACTCATTATCCTTCTAAAATTAAACAAAAGATCATTACTTGGGTGCACAGAGGAATGTATGTCAGGCAATATAAGAATATGGTCAAACATAGATTCCATTAGATATGCTACAAGATTTTTACAGCGAAGAGCTGGTAAATGGTGAACTAATCTTGATGATGCCAGGCAAAATATCATTGCTATGGCAGGATTCACTGAATTAGGGTCCAGATTAATTTCAGAAATTAGTTTTGAATCACCAATACAATATGCTACAGACATTGTTTTATTAGGAAAGAGAAAGCTCCAAAGTATTGATGATTTTGAATAATATTAAAAAACTACATCAATGAATGCTACATATTGGGATTACACAATAATGCAACATGTAATGCATATTATCTTGCATTTTTTCCAGGTAATATCCCAGAACTTGTATTTGAAACACTTTTAACGAAAAACATATCAGTGCAAAATCTAATAACAGTTGTTGTAGTGGGATTTGCCAAAGGAGAAATTAAAAATTTGTGTTGCAATGATAATACCAAAATATACTTAAAAGTAGGATCTAAGATGTGCAACACCATTGAAGGAGTAGAAGAGTACAACATCCCTAAATTCAGAAAAATCTATAAAAAAAAGAAATTCCAAACCGTATAAGTTTTTTACTCAATAAATAAAGGGATAAAGTCCAAAGACAGAAGACCCTATTATGCCTGTCAACAAGAATGACACCTTGCTGCACAATGTCTACAAAAAGCCTCAAAGTAGATCAAAACACTATTCATAAAATCTCAAATTCAAGAGGACTGGTCCCTGATAGAGACAATTGAGTAACTTGAAGAAGCACTTAATGAAGAAAACATCTTCATCATGGAAGAAATTGTTAAGCTGTAACCCAAGCCTATGATTTTTACAAGCTGATTTACTTTATGAATAGTGGTTGCTTTTTATAGGTAGTTTTACTATTTACCTTTTTAGTGAGTGGAAGAGTGAGTGACAGGTATATGTAATAATAGCTTTATAATTGTTACTTTTATTTTTTCTTTTAGGTGGATGTGCAAAAGAATGACATATGGATGTACTTAATGCAACATGGTACTATATGGTTTTGTTTTTCTAAGCCAGTATTACTTTTCATGCCTGGTTTTAACCCACTGTTTTGTAAGCTACTATGAAATCTAGGGCTATGTTTAATTATAAATATGTAACTCATTTGTGTGAAATAAATCAGAAGCAAAGTTAAATTTGTTTCGTGCAAAAAATTTGGTAACCAAGGCTGGTAGAATCATCACGCTCTCATAGTCCTTTGGTGGACTCATTTAACTCTGTTTCTGGACGAAACTCGGGATGGTGAAGCACTCTTTTACTGTGAGCATAATACAAGTTAGGAACACTGTAAGGTGTTGTTAGCTGTTCTGATAGCTAATCTGACTGAGTGGGCAAGCCAATTGTAGCCCTTAAAAGGATATCTTGGCAGACTGTTGGCATTTGAGCACAATACTCACCCCCTTCATCTAGCTTCTCATCTAGTTGATTTCTATCTTCATGTGGCTTGCCCCACCATGTAACCCTATTTCTAAAAAAAAAAAGGTCGGGGGGAGGGGGTCAAACAATGGCAATATACAGTGACAGAAGTCAAAAGATAAGGAATTATTTTGCTCTTGAACCAAAAAATACTAATTCGACTATAGGAAATTACTCTAATATTAACTGCTTTTTCACCTCTGTCGAAAGAATCAATATTTGTTAAACAATTTCAGATAGGCTTCCTTAGAGCACGAATTCTTAAAAAATAAGTATTGGATGACTTGCTAATGTATAGGAGGCAGTTATATCTTAATCATATTGTCAAAGATTTTATGACAAAATTGTTAGGATATACACATTGGGAAAATGATTTATGCAAATATTTTCAAATGATCAATTTTACTGAGTAGGGATTTATTTGAAGATACAAAGCTAAAATTCTTTATAATGAAGCATCCAGCATAATACCACCGACATCAGTGCATCTACCCGATAACTTATTGAAGACGAGTTACCAGATGAGTCTCCAAAATCATCTCAAAATATCTTGCATAAATGAGTCACCAGACGAGCAAACTTTTTTTTTTCTTTTTTTTCTTTTTTTTTTTTGTGGAGGGGGGGGGGGGAGTACTTTTTCCCTTTGGCCAAGGGCCTTTTATCTCCCTCGACCAAGTTGTTTCAACGTGCCACCTACATGCCCACCTAGGAGCAAGGATGCATACTTAGGCCCCTCCTAGGTGTTTTGGCTGCCTAGCAAAATTTTCAAACATTGGCTTTAGGATCCTAAAACACGTCCCAAATCACAAAAACAATATATTTCCACTTAAAATTCAAGAATTTAAAGGTCCCACTTTTAAGGCTTGAATAAAGTTCCATGGTAAACCATGGAACTAGAAAAGTGAACTTTTTATTCGTCTTACCCCCGACAAAAATTGGGCCCTTTGCCCTAAGTTTTTTTCAAGCATCTCTTCGCACCGCTTGCCTGCTACACTCTTATTCTTTCTCGCCTGCCACTCTCTTCTTCCTTCCTCGCCTGTAATAAGCTGCTGCTACTGTGTGTCTGCCATTATCTTCTTCCTTCCTCGCCTGTCACTCTTTTCTTCCTTCCTCACCTGCAACAAGCTGCTGCTACTGTGTACCTGCCACTCTCTTCTTCCTTCCTTGCCTGCAACAAGCAGCTGCTAATGTACGAAGCCTGAAACCAATGTCGGCCATTGCTCTTTTGTCTCACCATTGAAGCACAATCACTCAAAAAAGCTCAAAAAAGGTGTATATACCTATCCATTCTTTATTTTTATTCAGTATTATCAGGTTTTTAGGGTTATTGCGAGCAGAAAAAAAAATCTGCCATAGCTTAGATTTCTCTCTCATTTATTTGTTTTTTTTTATGATTTTTAATTGTTGTTGAAGCTCTTCAAATCTCCTAAAGAAGCCCTAAATTTATTTTTTATTTTCATGCTCAAATCCTTGCATTTCCATTGCTTAACAGAGGGATATGTTAAGAACTTGTAAAATCTACCATATTTGAAATATGTCTTTCATTTCTTAGTTTTATTTACTTATTTATTTGTTATTGTTATTGAAGATTTTCGAATCCTCTGCAAAAATCCTAATTTGATCTCTTTTATTTCTATTTTTTATTTTTTCTATAGATTTTGATTTGTCTATTTACTGTAATCAGTATTTTATTCTTCTCTGTGCATGTGTGTTTGAATGGGCTGATTTCCATGGCCAATTGGTTTATTTGATAAGCTCTTTGTGTATTTGATGAATAATTCTTGTGATGCGTCATGATTAACGGTGGAGAGATGAAATTTGGAGCCCATGTATATGTATATGTAACAGTATGATCTTTGATTCTTTATCCATTTTCTTGAGATGGTTTGTACTTGTCCATGTTGGAAGAATGGTACTTGTCGTTGAATGGAAGAATGGTACTTGTGGCAGATAGAGTGAGATATAGGCAGAAGAATGGAGCGTGGAAGACGTTCAAAAGATATTTGGAATTGAAAATTATTTTTCTCATAAAGAAGAGGATGCAGTGAGGAAGGACAATGAGTGCGCTTTTGAATGAGTCCCCCATGAATTCCAAATTTTTTGTTTTAGAACCTTATTATTTTGGTAATTGGTATCAGGGTGGGTGTTTAAGTATGGTTGGATTAGTGTGAGTTGCATATTTTATAAATGCGTTTTGCCCCTCTCTCATTATTTAGAATATTATTTAGAAAGATGTCATTGTTACAAGTAGCAGTTGATTGTTAAAGATCCCACTTTAGTAGTTGATATTAAAGATCTCATTTATTCACAAGTAGCAGTTGATTGTTAAAGATTCCATTTATTGGTCTTTAGAAAGATTCAGATAAATATTTACTTGGATCTTAGATAGAGTGAGATAGAGGTAGATGAATATTTACTTACATATGAGATAAGATCAAATAGAAGTCATTTGGATATTCATATCCTAATTAGAAGCTATTTACCCCCAAAATTTGGGGTACTTCACTTGACTTTTGAGCGAGGCCTTGGGGTGCCATTAAGCAAAGTCATGAGAATTTCTATTGGCTTCTTTTTACTCTAATTTTCATAGAATTTCGTTACCTTCATTCTAAAGGTCCATCTCGGCTTCTTTTTAATGCAATTTTCACATAATTTCATTTCCTTTATTCCAAAAGTCCATCTTTGAGATGGATATTTTAAAAAATATAAAATGGTGTGTCAAAATAACTAGAGCAAAGAAGGGAAAGCCAGATTTCCCGTCCTTTTGATTTGGGATATATGTTCTATACCACATGAATATTTGCTTGGATTTCAAAACTGAAGTTTACCAATAAAGCTCTCTGAGTTTGCTCTATTTTCCTTGATGAGTGTATGAAGTATCAACTATTTTCCTTGATGCTAGTATGAATATCAGCAAATGCAACAGAGAAAATTAATAAATACATAATGGTTTACCATGTGGGCTTTTGTGTTTCTTTTTCTTTTTCTTTAATGAGATTGTGAAGTTTCATTGAAGGAGAGACAACGAGCTTCGATCATATGGGCTCTTGTCAGCTTTTTTGTTAACTTTGTAGAGTTTACATTGTTACTTTTATATTCGAGTATAGCTTAGTAGAACCAATTTGACATGAGTAGGAATTTGTATTTTGTGGCATACGAGGTATGCCTACGATTGAAACCTACAAGTTATCCCTCAAGAAAACTAAGGTACTTACGAAATTTAAACTCTTATTCCACTGCATATTTGTAAAAACACTCAATAAATTGTATACTCACAATAGTTTAGAAAATATATTGATTTCTATTTTGAACAGTCAATTAGGAAAGTAGTGATTTGGTACATAATATTGAATTGAGGTTGTGCTTGACATTGTCTGCAGATTGCTTCAATTTTGAGGTGCAATGAAGTCTATCATGCAACATCTGCTTCAATTGATGTATAAATATCTCTCTTTTTAGGATGCTCCTCTCACTCATCAATAGAACTTTATTTTATAACACTCTCTACACACTCTCTCTCTCAACCCAACATACTTTACTTTCAATTGATATTATATCCCAAAAAATAATATTCTACATATTAATAATAAATAAATAATATCTAAGTCTCAATTTTAACATTTTATATTTAAAGCTAATCCAATACAGATGCCAATAACTTATTTAACTTCCCAGGAGGTTATCAAACACACAAACCAAAAACTTCTTAACTTCCCAGGAGGTTAACAAACACAAAAAATTTCATAGTGAGGTTATCAAACACAGAAGGAAAAAGTTTATATAAGGATGCAACCTTTTAATGTAGAACTACGGATGCACCTCAAAAATCCATCGAAAAAGGTAGTTTTAATATTAAAAACCCTTTGATAGATTATCTCAACATCGAGATGTATAACCATGAAAAATGAAAAGATTTTAAGTCTCATAAATAGTGCATTTAACAACATATTATCTTCACCGTCCATTTTCAAGCTTTTCATCTGTTTATAGATCTACTTGATTTTAACCAATTTTGAAATTTAAAATTTTATAATTAGATATAAAAATAGATTTTGAGATAATCCTAAGAACACTTTACATCAAAAGTATGTACCATCATAAAATTTGAAGGTGCACCTTACCTCTACAGCTATGGATGCATCCGTATGCCAAGTACACCCAACACAGAAACGATGAACTTTTTCAGAAACTTCCAATTTACAATTCTTCAGAAACTTTCAATTTACAGCTCATATACTTATTTTCAGTTGTCAAACAGGCCTGGAAGAATTGAAACAGGTAGTGCAAAAGAAAGGGTATAGCTCAAAGATCTCTCTCCTCCATATTCATGGTTGTGGTAGTTAAAATGATAGACCTATAGACTTTTATAGATTTTAGAAGAGAGGACCCGCTAAAATGAGTGTGTTATTAGACGTACCTAAAACCTACCCATTTATATTGTAAAATCACTTAAATGGTTAAATCACTTTAAAAATCATTAATGAGGTAAAATCTTCTCATTTAACTTGCCCATGTTCATGATTAGCAACCCTACAGAAGAAGGTTCATTTCGGTAATTTTACCCCATTTAAATGGCCCAAGACAAATAATAAAAATACCTCTTATTGTTCAAGCTTCAGAACGAGGAACCTATATTTCATACTAAAATCTCTTGTTTAGGGGTTCTAAAATTGAACATCTATTTAAATTTATGTCATTATGCTCGAAATAAGTAGCCAAAGTGTATAAACTATAAAGGTAATACATCTGCTTGCTCAGGTTTTAGGAATGTTGAACTTTCTTTTTTTATTGAAAATCTTTCTTTTGTGTTCCTAAGTTGGAACACAAAGTGGTATTATCATCATTGATGATGAATTAAGTAGTTCGAGCAAAATATTTGTTGTACCCTAATGGGTCGTTTGGGACCCTTGAATAAACAAATTTAAGATATTTATATCCACGTTTTGGAGCATCAGAGATCCAGTTATGGTTTTTTAGGAGTGTATTGAATTTCTTTCCATAAAATGGAAAAAAAAAACGGTAGCTTGTGACGTTTTTTTTTTTCCTGTAAACCCATTTCTCTTGCTAGGGTTTTGTTGGTTCTTCAATCTCTGAGTCTTTTCCCATCATTTTTTAGATATGTTTATTAATGGATGCTTTTTGGCCAATTTATGTAATCTGTGGCTGTTTTTGGAGTAACCATGAGAGTTGTCGCATTTTAGTTAATAGTTTTTTTTGGAATTTATTATCTGACGAACTATGATAATCTATAATGTCTTCCTCATTGAAGAACACAATGTTGTGTCTGATGATGTGTGAGCTCTGTAATTTTGCCGGTCAATGGCTATTTTTTTGTGGGCTTTTTCTGTTTATTTTGTATGAGTTTTTTTTTTTTTTTACATCGATGATATCGGTAATGTCTTCTTCATCGAAGAACACGTTATTGTGTCCGAGGATCTGTGAGCTCTGTAATTTTGGTGTCAATGGCTTTTTTTTTTGGGGATTTCTTGTTTTCTTTTTCTTTTTATGTTTTGACAATGTTGTCTTCCACATCGAAAAACACAGTGTTGTGTCTGCTGATCAGTGAGCTCCGTAATTTTGGGGTTCAATGGCTATTTTTTTGGGGAATTTCTTGTTTGCTTTTATGTATTTTTTTTTGACATCGAAGAAGATAGTGTTCTCTCCCTCATCGAAGAATACAATGTTGTGACTGACTTTCTTATCTTTTTATAACCATGATAGAAATTCTTTTGATCTCGTCTTTCTGCCCTCTCTGGCTATTGATAGCCTCGTACTAGTGAACCCATTGTAAACCACCCTGATCTTTTTTTGCCTTCTCTTTTTATGATTCTTTTGGAGCATTCAGTCAGCTCATGAGGTAAATTATGAGTTCCCTATGGTATGTGAACTTCTTATTGGTATGTGAACTTCTTATAAGTATGTGAGGGTTGAATATAACCTAATCACTTTATTCATTTGCTCAAGTAGTGGTATGTGAACTTCTCTTTTTATGATTTTGATAAAAGTTTTTCATGAAAACAATAGAATCTGATCTATGATTGTTTTTAGAACATTTGATTAGGCTTTGCAGAATGTTGATGATCCTTTTGGATGGTGCATTTGAGCAATAAAAGTGTTAAAACTTGTCAAATAGCTGCTGATCAGCAGTAACGACCGAAAAACTAAAATTCCATTGTCAATTTTTGGCTATATGTGATATGTTGTCAATTTTTGGCTGTATGTAAAAATCAGCAGCATTTTCTTTGATTTCAAACAAAAGCTTTGCATTGAAACAATTGAAAATGATATGTGATTGTGTTTAGAACATTTGACTATGTTTGCATAAGGTTAATGATTCTTTTGGGGATAATGTAAACTATGTTGGTATATGAACATTTGTATCTATGTGTATGCACTTTAATATATTGTAATGCTTTTATTAGGAAAACTTCTATTCGAATAGTTTTGTGTTGCCTAGATTAATGCTTTTATTATACTGAATGCTAATAAATGTTCGTAGTCTCAACAAGTTTCATGTATATCATTTTTAAAACCACGATGGCTAACGTTTCCGTTAATCTTTCAAATAGCGAAGAAAAAGGCATTTTCAAATGGAATCCCGAACATGACAAATATTTGTTGGAGAGCATGGTAAATATGGGTGCTACAGACTTGCGAAAAAAGGATTGGATAGAAATATGCAGCATGATGAATGAGGAGTATGGACACGTATTTCACAAAGATAAGCTAAAAAACAAAGTCAAATGTTTGAAGTTTAAGTATAGGAGGGTTAGAGACCTCCTTCTAAAGCCTGGTTTCCATTTTGATGCAGTTTCTAGGAGAATTGGAGGGTCTGGTCGGGATAAGTATGTACAGGGAAATTTCAAATACATGAGCAATTGTTACTTTAAAAACCCCACGTGCTAGGACAACAATTGATCTTTTTAAAATTGCATGTGCTCAGGCTAATGAAGATGAAGGGAAGTGGATCGACGTTGATCTACCTTCTATGGAGCACATGGATCGAGTTTTCGGGGATTGGTATAATGCCGGCCATGGAATATTTTATTTTGAATAATATGATTGTGTTCTTGTGATCAAAACCCATGCAAAGTGTACTTTTCGAGTTCTTCTAAGGGATATTGTATTTAACTTTTTATTTTGTAACTTCGTAATCTTCTTTTCAATCTAATGAGATACAGTATTCCGGATATGATGTAATACAGGTCATGTACATAGAAGAGGGAGAGTGAGAGCAAGAGAAAGAATCATATTTCGACCTATTAAGATCTCAAAAAATATCATCTGAACCGTCTAATTTATTTATTTCATGATGGATAACTTATTCCCAAAATATAGTTTTAATTGGCCATGTATTACTACAGAATCATCAACTTTAATAATCAATGGCTAAACTGCATTAGCATAAAACAACCAAAAACTAGTTTTCATGGTGCCAAACAGGGTAACGTACCAGCTTATGTATATTTTGGGTTCTTCATGCAGCCAGCCAAACAAGTGCTTTTATATACATACTAGAATCAACAAAAAGAAGTAATAGAAAAAACTCGATTTGGGGTATATAGGGTTCTCAAACGACTCATAATTTCACCTATAGCAGCAACTAAGTATTAGAAAAAACTCGATTTGGGGTATATAGGGTTCCCAAACGACCTATAATTTCACATATACCAGCGTGAAACTCACTTTTTTTCTTCTGCAAACCCTTATTCGAGTAGTAACCCTAAACTAAGGTTCATTTAATTTAGTCCAGGCCACTTAAGTGTTGCCAAATTACCTAAATGCCTCTACTTGTTCATGGTGTTCAATTTGGTCATTTTTTCACGTATTCCTTAAAGGGGCACATGAAAATAAAATTTGAAAAGTGGTATTCTATATTTAAATGATGATTTGACCATGATTTTGTGTGGTTTGATCATGTAAATATCTTTATTTTTTCAATAGTAGTTTGTCCTTAAATTTTGTAATGCAAGCTATTATATAACAAACGCTAAAAGAAGTGCCAAAAAAATGGTGGTCCGACTCATAACCATCAGAGTTGAACCAGAACTGCCAGGTATCCGTTCTGATTTTCTCCCCATTTCGGATTTGGCCTAATACGCCCACAAGTCATTTTAAATTATTTTTATTTTTTTATTATTATTATGTTTTCGTTTCTAGAATGATTTAAAGTTCTGCAACGTGGCTTAAGCATTTTAAGCTTTTCTATTTTTGCTTTTTAATTTGCTTGAGTGGACCAAGCCGAGACAATGAATTGGGCAGATCGACCCAGATCCGGTCAGTGACTGGCTCAACACACTGGTCTTGACCTTCTAAACACTACCACACAAAAAAACAACCATCAGTACCAGGGGGTCGAATTTACGGCCCTCCACATGCTCGTACATCAAATTTTTTTTTTGGGTAGATATATACATAACTTGTTTTTTTATGATGATCTTGTAAGGACATCCCAGCATTTGGTCCTAATAGAAATTGTGATGATCTCGTAAGGACATGACATTTGGTCTTATGAAGAAACTTATCATCATTATAATTTTGTTTTTCAATTAATTGGGATTCGGCTATGAAATTTTAGTCCGATGGAAAAATACCATATTTTTATGTAAACTTATGATGCACCCTCACCAACTCTCACCATGTTAGGCAACTTATTTGATTACCAAACTATCTGATCTGCTTAGTTGATCTCTATGAGCAGTATGATAAAAAAAGCATATCAGAGCTCAAGATGTGCTCCATCTCAGTTCCTCCTTGTCCAAGACCAACTTTAAGAGCTGGAAAAGAAATTATTTCCAAGTTTTGCCAGCCAGACCAAATGCACAAATTGGTCCCGTGAAACCACCTAATACTTGCTATTAGGTTCAAGATAGAGAGAATTTCCGAACTCCATCGTCATCAAAGGGTAGCGGCTCAAATTCCCATTTACTTACCCTTTACAAAGCTCAAATCTCCACTGACTTTTATATATATATATATTTTTGTAGAATGGAGTTGGGGTCGCGTTAAGTTTTTTAGGCTTTTATTTTCACCTAACCCATTAAAAAACTACTAATAATTTAAAAAACGGGTAGGAGATCGTCATAACTATTGAATTATCAAAAAATTAAATAAATAAAATGGAAAAAATAAAAAAAAGGAAACAATTACGTTTGCGCCATAAGTAAAAGGGGAATTACGCGCAGGTCTATTTATGCAATATTTACATAGAAGGCGACTTTGAGTTCTTGGAATTACGCCCGTATGGTCGCTCTTTTACCTTATTTGCCCGTTAGTCCAAAAATTGTACCATGTCTGCAACATCATACTGTCTTTTAACTGTCTGGTTTTTAGTTCATTTGTACGATATCGAGCTCTCCAATTCTAGGGCAGCATAATGTTGGAAACAGTGGACATAGCCAAAATTGTCCCCCACTTCCAATACTACCATCCTTATTTCTCAAAAATATTAAAAGAATAATAATAATAGTAAAATGATTTGATGTTTGAAATATTAGATTTTTCAATCAAATTAAAATTAAAAAAAAAAAAGACGTATGGACACCATTCGGAAGTCAATTACGATTAGGTGTCTTATGGTTTTTTCCCCCAAAAGCTATCAATGATGTATCGTGTTTTATATGCCGGACAGCTCCTAACAATTGCCGATGTTATATATATATATGCAGCTCTCTCTCTTCCTCTGCAACTCCCCTTAGCCCCTGCTATGTGCCCTCTACGCTCTCCACCGCCTCCCCCTCTTACTCCGTTTCTCTCATTCCTCCCTCTAACCAATTCCGCCGTCCCTGTTTTTATGTTTGGTTTTTTTTTTTACTGCTCTCTGCGTCGCTAATACCTGATTTTGTCCGTAGCAGCCAGCTTGCAGCAAGCCTGTGTCGCAGAGAACTGCAATAGTAAGACATCTCTCTCACGTTATTTCCACGGTTAATCTTTTGGGTAAATCTTATTTGGAAAAAGTTCATATGAGGATGCTACTTTATAATGTAGAATTATGAATGCCCCTCAAAAATCTATCGGAAAAGGTTGTTTTAATGTTGAAAAGCCTTTTGATCGATTATCTCAACTTCGAGATATATGACTATGAAAAATAAAAAGATTTTAAGTTTAAAAAATAATGTATTTTACAACATATTATCTACACCATTCATTTTCAAGATTTTCATATGTTCATAGATTACTTGATTTTAACCATTTTTAAAATTTAAAATTTTATAATTAGATATAAAAATAGATTTTGAGATAATCCTAATAACATTTTACATCAAAATTATATACCATGATAAAATTTGAAGGGCACCATACCTTTACACCTACACAGGCGTCCATATGCCAACTGCGCCCCATCTTATTCTCATGGTTAATATTTTGGGGATTTATTAGTTCATATACAGGAAATATTTGTATATATTCCTTTTTTTTTTTTTTGTGAAGAATTTAATTTGAGTTTCTATTTTTTTCTTTTTTAAAAAAATTGGGTAGCTATTGGGATAAGATATGGGAAATTTTGTTGAGTTTAATGGACGGATTGTCCAGGAGAGAAGCCTTGCGATGATCTCAATGCCTGTTGCAAAGATGGATGCAGAGACGTTTTCATTGACAAAGGCCTCAAATTGGTTTTGTCTTCTCATTAGTATTTGTGCCTCACACCAATTTGTTCGTCCACATATTCAATTAGAGAGAGATTCTTTCCTGGAGGGGGCGCGAGATTTATCGGGAGAGAGGTTCTTGTGGACTCAAGCCATCCGGTATTTGAATCACCGGATGGTATGGGCAGTTTTGAAAAACAATCTCGTTTTTATTATCGAATGGGTATTTTGAAAAAACAAATACTTAAAAAAATAAGAAATGATATTCGTAATTTCGGAAAAATGAGAGTAATTGACTGTCCCAATTTTTTTAAAACAATTTAACAACGCTTGGGGCGAATTTATGTTAAATTAGTGTATATATGAACCTCCATGTAATATCCCTTTCATGGCATCCCCAAAGAACAAAAGAAACAACCCAATTACATATATTTATTATTCATCTGTCTCCAATGTCCAATCTACCAACTCTCAATCTAAAAAGAGATGAAACAGGAGTTTACAAATCATCACCATACTTGAATAGATCCAAAGGCACAAGAAGATATTCTCAGGCCACTTTTTGAAGAGGAGGATATTGAAGAGCATGGCGATTAGGGACAAGAGACTTGTCATATAAGCTTAGAGGTGTAGGGCTAACCTGCATAAACATGTAATTACCGGCAAATAAATCTCCTATGTGGGCTCTCCCCTCTATTAACCTCTTCACAGCTTTGGCCACAGAAACCCTAAAACCAGAGACGGCACGAACCCTTCTCCTTAGAAATCTCTTCAGGCTAGGGATTTTGAGCCTTAGCCTCCTCTTCGATCCCAACTTTCTCACTCTAACGAAGCTCCGGCTCCTCAGGAAGCCATAATCGATCAGGCCAAGTCGATCTTTGTCTTCGTGTTCAGCCCCAACGTTGCGAAGCCTCTGGTAGGAGAAGTGGGTTTGAATCTTTAACATCTCTCTCTCTCTCTCTCTCTCTGTCCGACAAGCGCGGCCGGGCTCTCAGCTTCCCTCTCTCTCTCTCTCCGTCGGAGAAGGGGACGGTGGGGGATCTTCAGGTGCACTCAATGACAAGTAGATGTAGTTGTTCTTCACCATGCCTCTCTTTCTCCATGAAAAATGATGGGCAGGCTATTCAGCTCTCTCTCTCTCTCACAAAGAACTGTGAATGCTCTCTCTCTCTCAACTATTATATGTCTCTAACCTCTCTCAAAGAAAATAGATGGCTCTCCCATCTGTTCTTTCTCTCTTCTCCTGTTTCTCTCTCTAAGAAAAATGGATTGCCTCTCTCTCCAACCCAGTCCTTCTCTCTCTTACTGCTAACACCACACGGTGGGTTAGGGTTGTCTCCTCTTTTCAGGAGCTTGTGTGTGTTTTTGAAGGACATGGAGGTTGGAATCGAGAATAAATGCGAGCCAGGGGGTGGTAGAGGGAGCAGGTGGTGGATTTTAAAGCAGCAGACGCAGGTGAGGGCATTAATTGGTGTTGGTCTTTCCTTTCGTTCACGACAGCTTGGTGTGAGGTCCGTTGTGAGTTACATCGGACAGTGGAGCCCGTCATAAATACATGCACCGACAAATCCGGATAGCGAGCCTCTGGGCTTTTAAGGGTGTGG